TCGTCCGCCGGTTTTTTTCCCTTTCCTCCTAACCCTCGGCCGTTTGGTCTCCCCCTGCCGAGGGCTTCCTTCTGGTTGGGCTTTTATTTATTTATGTATTTTTGTATTTATTTTATTTTAATTATATTTATGTATATTTATCTTTTCATTTTAATTTATAATTATATATTTATATAACCCAACCAGATGAGAAAACTATATAGATACCCCACATAATAATAATAAGTGAAGAAACGGAACGTTAACGTACCATAGACACAAAAGTCAAAAGTTGTCAAAAGTGACAGTTCGTCAACTAGCAATTATCTACCTTACAAAACTTTTATCACTAATTTGAAAAGTAATAAAGATATGATGATAAAAAGAAAAAAAAAGATATGAAGTCCAAAGAAAAGTTATAACAATAAGAATTACAAAATTTATAAAATTAGATAATTAAAGAAGAAAGTTCATTTTTTACCAGCCCTCTTAGTATCCAGACAGAAGATCTACTTGGTTATGCAAAGATGTTAAAGCAGCCAAGATGAATTTTCTAAAAGCATTAAAATCACCTGGTATGGAAGATGAAGTTGTGTAAGCAGAACTAGATTGTTGCAGTTCCCGTTGAAAGTTATCCATTTGACTTTGGAATGACTTTGACATCTCCATTAGTGAACCTTTCGGTACTTCCATGGTGAAAGTAATTGTAAAGTGCAGTGATGTTAGAGAAAATACTTGCAAATAAAAGCTGGTAAGTAGTAATTTATGTGAACATGTTAGATCAAAGGTTCAATTTTAGTAATTGGCCGGGAAAATATGCCATTTTTTGGTTTTGACATCAACCGATCTAATTTTGTTATCTTTATCTTTGTAAACATTTAGAATTCTTCCTAACGGCCAATTAATTGAGGGGGGGTCATCATTTTTGAGTAAAACTATATCTTTAAATATACTAAATTTGACATGCACAAAGTTCAAAAACTTTATTAAACTAAGTTTGTATAAAAAGGGTTATAATAATATTAAGGAATTTATGGATGATAATAACCCCTGCGAAGGGTGATCGCTACCAAGCTATTTCTTATTTGTTTTGTGTTGTTGATTGTAACGTACATGATTGTAAGCTTTTTGAAAAAATAGTCCCGCTGGGATTTCTGTTGGATCTTCACAGGACAGAGGTTTTTTTTGCGAACTAGTGTTAAATGAAAAAAGTGACTTTCAATATGTATTGTTTAAATATATATATATATATATATATATATATATATATATATATATATATATATATATATATATATATATATATATATATATTACATCGGGTTCAGTAGTAAACTATTTGTAGCGTAAGTGTAATGAATTTAAATGCTATAAGTGCCAACGTTTCCAGAATAATTGTCTGATTTTAATTATTTGGTTGTTCACAGTGAGCTTATTTTCAGGTATATCAATTACAGAGATTTCAGGAATAGAAGTCAATGGTTTTCCTACGACGAAATGTCTGGGGGCTAAACATTGAAAGTTTGACGCATCATTACTCAGAGAACAAAGTAGCCTAGAGTTCTACAGATGGTTAAAGTCACTCCTGTCACGAGACTCTACTAGCTCATGTGCGCAACTATATTAGGTAGTATAACTTATACCCGGCTTGCTGCTTGGTACAGTGTGTTTGGTGGCCGTATTTGTGCTGATATTGTGATGTGTGACGCATGTTGTTCCGGGAGACAGCAATCTCACAAGTAAAGTTTATCGGACGCTTGTTGTGGTTCTTGGTTTTCGTCTAACCGTAAGTAGAGTAAAACACACCCGCTGCCTCAGAGGCAGCCATCTATTTTTATTTAATTTCTGTGTTGCTGGTTGCATTAGGCAACAAGGTAGGTACACACCCTAGCGTATCAACGCGCTATGTGTATAGGTACACATCTCCCCTGCGGTAAGGTGCGTAAGGCCCGCTGTAAGCTTGGTACACACGTATGTTAACTGGTGTTAGCATAGGCAAGATGGCGTCGTTTTCTAACTACGAACTACGAATTTCCTGCATAAATCTTTCTCCGACGTATGGGAGGCGTTCCTTAGCAAAAGCAAGGACACGCTGATTTATCATGGCAATAACCCCCTCTCTCATTAACCCCCTCACCGGTCTCACGGACTTCTTCTGCGCCTGAAAACGACACAGTTTACCCCACGCCTTCCGCAATATCAATCCGCGGCCTACTAGAATACCGACTCAGGTTCCGAAATGGAGCCCGAGATGCGTGCCCCGCCCAAGCCCGAAGACGAAGGCTTCACCCACGTCCAGTACAAAAAGCGCAAGCGCGTTACACCGAAATAGGTAGCCAGTCCCAGTTGCCTATTTCGGTGCAACACGGTGCCCTCGTTCCTCACCGCCACTACGGCTAAAAAGCCAGCGCCCGCCAACCACCAGACCGACAAGAATCGTTTTCTTGACCTCTGCCTTGTCATCCTGAAATCCTGGATCCGGAAGGCAAGGAGATATTCAATATGCGGCGTATCTGAAACCTAACTTGGATTGCAGTAAAAGCTCCCCGTCATAGGGGCATCGTTAGCTAGTGCCATCGATGCCAACTTTACGGCCACTCGGCCAGAAATTTTGAAGTCAGGCCTTGGTGCGTCAAGTGCACCAAGCTACACTACGGCACTACCGACTGCAACCGCATGCCCTAGACGGCAGAACCTCCGAGCTGAGTTAATTGCCCGGAAGAGGGACACCCAGCAAACTACCGCAGGTGTTCCAAAGCGCCATGACTCAAAAATGATCAGGTAAAAGCTGTCCCAGACGTATGGATCATTCCAGCGTGTAGCTCTAGGCTACACGCTGCGGTTGGGGGCATGTAGCCTCTCGGCTACCTGCCCCCAAACCCGCACCATCTTCGGTGCCCCTTCAGCACCACAAACTGCCGTCATGCCCATCTCTATCACCAATATCTCCGCGCAGGGAAGTAGCACTCCCGCACCTTCAGCGCCAAAACCCAACGCGTTGGTAAAGCCTCCGACATTTCGCCACAGGCCCCCAGGCCCCCTAACCCAAGCCTGTACCATAAGGCTCATCTTCCTTTGCTGTTGAATATTCCCTAGTTTGCGGCTACATCAGCAAAATCAACGTCGCTTAACAATCATCCTTGGCATGCAAACTCCACGCAGTAACCATCCCACAGGACAATCAACGCCACATTTGAGCATATAATAGAACTAATCGATGCCATTTTGTCTTTCCAGTGCGCCTGAAAGCACCACATTTAAAATACCATAATGGCAGTACAACCTTTAGGTAGAACTAAACAACGCTCTCTGACTGTCGTATTTTTTAATGCAAACGGGCTCAGAGACCAAAAAGACGAGATTGCGCTCTTCCTGCGCAACCATGATGTAGACATTATGCTAGTACAAGATACCTTCTTGAAGCATACTCATCAGATCCCAAGATCGCAAATCACACCTTAATTAGAAATGATAGGTTGACCAGCCCTTTGGGCGGCACCTTGATTTACCACAAGAGGTCCTTGCACTGCGTATTGATCGACGTTCCCCCGTTAGCTAACATAGAAGTCTCTATATGTAAAATAGCTGTGTCCGGCCATCCGCCACTTACCATCGTTTCGGCATACCAACCGCCAATGAAACGTATTATAGAATAAGACGTTTTAGACTTAATAAACTTAGGCACAACAGCCATAATAGCTGGAGACCTCCACAGTAAGCACTCCTCCTGGAATTCGCTTACAATCTTAATGGTAATGCTTTGTATGTATATCTACGGCAATAAATTTTGGTGGCGCAAATACGTCGACCTCATTTGTGATGGGCCATAAGGTTGAGGACATAATTATTGTCAAATGTCTTCTATAGTTTTTATTTTCAACAGCGTTATGAATAAAATCAATGGAAATACAGTAGATAGGTTTCTTATTTTAATTCTTTCTGTCTGATATAGAAGAAGCAGTAACAGTTGTTAGGGTGGTTTTCAATAACAAAGAAAGTTAAAAATATAACCCCGTGTTGGCAAAGACTAGGATTATTCAGAGTAAAACAATAATTTTTAGAACATAATTTGCTTTGTTGAATCAAAACAATATTCGTAGAAAAAAAAGGCATTGTACAAAGACGGCCATCGATCCAGATTGTACTAAAAATAACAATTTCTTTGAAGTACCAAGTCTTAAATACTTAATAAAGATACTTGTCTGTACGTGAGTAACTTTCTAAAAGTTAAGATATTGTGTTTAGTCTAGACTTATCATAATTTAAAGTTATTAAAGCTTAATTGGGCTATAAGGTGTTATGAAGATGAAAAAATCAACTGAAATTAAAATTTGAATTTATTGACGTTTTAGTGTATTTATTTTCTTTTTAGATAATATAGTTACAAATGAACTTAAAATTTCACGTAGAAGAGACATATTTAGGTACGTGACAGAGCGTCCTACATAATATACAAAAACATATACCATATGAAAATAAAACTACTCTTATTCCGTTTCCCCCCGCGGATCTCTGAGGTGTTCAGACGTGTTTAAGTAAATACGTATATTTCATTTAAAAATATATATATAAATTATTTAACAAGTTTAAATAAAGTTACAATATTAGGAGTGCAGAAAAGGCAAGGAGGTGTTAAAGAACGAAGCGCTTGCTTATTGTATTTGCAAGGGTTCATAAACAATTGCCCGCCCGTACCCCTCCATTAACACTTGGATCACTCTAAAGGTGGAGGAAGACGGAACTATCTAATTAATGTCATAGGGTAAAGTTAAACAAATGTATCTTTTTTGTGTACGACGAAGAAAGAAATACAGTATCGCATGGAAGCTGTTGAAGAGGTCAACTAAGACTGGTCGACTTGTGAAGTTGTATGAAAACCTCGATTGTCACCCAGTAAGGAGATCCCTAAAGCTATTGTGTAGTGAATACTGTATATCTATTGCAATAAGATCTAAAATAGTAGTTAATTGATTTACAGTTGCACATATTATAAGCCTGTTATTTCGTACTTTGTTTTAAATATGCCTGTCGACCGCATGCCGACACCGACGCAATCTGGCTTGAAATCTACCTTGCTAGCAGCGCAAGCTGATAATAAGAAAGTGCTAACGTTGTCTAACTCAGAACTTACTTCTAATGTGTCAAAACGCAGCAAAAGAAGAAAAGAAGAAATTGGAGAATCAGAAATGTTAGCATTCAAATCAGAAATTTTATGTATGTTTGGGGAGTTTGAAAAGAAACAGCAACAATACTTTCTGTCTTTGCAGTCGCTAATAGAACAAATCAAAGAACAAAATGCTAAATTACAGGAGTCTGTCGAGTTTACTGTGGCAAAATATGATGATGTATTGGTGAGATTAGTTCAACTTGAGAATACAAAAAAAGAAGGTAGAAGCCAGACGCGAATATTCGAAGAAAAAATTGAACAGTTAGAAAAGCAGATTCGTTCTGCTAGTATTGAAATTAGAAACATACCAAAAAATCAGAGTGAGACTAAGCAGGATTTAGCAAATACTGTTATAACTATAGGAAACATAATTAAAATTCCAATACAGAACTCGGATATTGAAGATGTTTTCAGACCCTATTCAAAATCAACAAACAAGCCGATAATTGTCGAGTTCACGACAGTATTAGTAAAGGAAAAATTTATAAGGGCTTCGAAATACTTCAACGAAGAACACAAAGAAGATAAGTTAAACACAGACCAATTATCAATTAAAGGTCCACGCACACCAGTATTCATTTCCGAAAATCTAACGCCAAAAAGCAAACATCTCTTTTATCTAGCAAGAAAACATGCTGTCATGTATTTGTTGGACTTCCTTTGGTAAGGTGTTTTTAAGAAAAGAATCTGGTGCTCCACAGATTGGCATAAATTCGGAAAGTGACATTAATAATCTAAAGAACAAGGAAATATGACTAGCACTATTCATCGGCTGCTATATGTTGAAGATTACACCGCTAGTATTAATGCCTATTTATAAGCACTCAATTTTGTTTAGTACCTTAATATTCTTTAAAATATGTTTTCTCTTAATATTGATAGTATTTTTAACACACATACAAACACCTACTTTCAATTACATATTATAAGCGTCGTCCACTTCCAAATATACTTAACAATACCACGAAATATACCATCTTTAATATACTTTTCAATATGCATAAAATTTGTCCTTGATTATATTGATACTGTTATATTCTTTAATAAAATTCAATCCAAATAATATTAAAGACATAGACAACAATGTTAATCCGCACTGTATCTATGTAGATGACACAACATGTTGTTCAGAACTATTGAGTAGCTTTTGTAATAACTTATCAATATTAGCTCTTAATATTCGGAGCATAAATCGTAATCTAGATACATTGCTTATTTTTCTCTCTAGCCTGGAATACACTATCGATATTCTAGTACTAACAGAATGCTGGACTAAGTAATATAAAAATTCACCTGATATATATGGCTATAAAGTACATTTTACTAAAAAGAGTTATAACAAAAACGACGGTGTGGTAGTTTACATACGAAACACCATAGAATGCACGGTGAATGAATACTGTATAACAAAAGGTAATTGTTTAACAGTAACATTGCAGAACGACACTGTTATCATTTGCACGTATAGACCACCTTGTTTTTCTAAGCCTACAAACTACATTAATTCATTAGGTAACCTACTTCAGAACCTACCCTCACGCAATATTATCTTGGCTGGAGATGTCAACATTGATATTCCATCGATAAACGGCGTCGATAAACCAACTAGATATAACACCTGTATTGACTATTTCATGATAAAAACAAACCAACGATGGCAATCGTTCGTTTTTAGTGAACTTACCGATCACTCGTCAATTTTGTTACTTGTAGAAAATATTAACTCACCTGCTCAAAATAACAAATTGAAGTACATAAATAAAATAAACTATAGTGCTATCAAAAACGACTTAGCATTGGAAAATTGGCAAGAGTATTTACTTATAAATGACACCAACAAAGATGCAGAAAATCTTATAGATAGAATAAAAAATGTGATCAATAAAAACACATACGCTATAAAAGTTTCTAACAGGAAAAAACGCCTAAAACCATGGATTACGGACGTAGTAGTTAGAGCAATAAGGAAAAGAAATAAATTGTATAACAATTATAAAAAAGTCTACAAATGATAACACACTCAAATTTAAATACATAAATTATAGAAACATATGTAATAAAATAATTAAAACACTTAAAATTATTTATTACAAGCAGCAATTTACTAAACATCTTAAAGATAATAAGAAAACGTGGTACCTAATTAAAGAAGTTAGGGGTTTCACAAAAAGAACCGAAACAGCTGAATGTCTCTTGAAAATTAAACCAACAGTAAAGGAATCACTTAACGAAATCAATAATTATTTTACCAGTATTGGCAACAGTATAGCTAATAATACACTCAAGACCTTAAATACTACATAAATTGGATTAGCTTCCAAAATCTTTACAAAAAGTGCTCCACTAAACTCATTTGTGCTCTATCAAGTTAATCCGTTGGAAGTAGTAAGTGCCATAAAGGACCTCAGGCAATCTTGTGCAACTGGCTGGGACGACATACCTTGTAGGGTACTGAAAGAAGTTGTCATGTTCTGGCGAAACCTATGATGCATTTGTGTAACCTGAGCTTTAATACAGGTACCTTCCCTAATATATTCAAAAGAACAATAGTTACACCTTTATACAAATCAGGTGACAAAAGACTTCCCACCAACTATAGGCCCATTTCATTGTTGACTTCCTTATCTAAAGTTATGGAAAAAATTGTAAACAAAAGAATTTTAAGATATCTGGAACAACATAAATTTATATCCAATAACCAATTTGGATTTCGATTCAAAATCTTACATCACAAATAGTCAATCATCTGAATGCGGGTGATAAATGCCTTGGCGTATTTTTGGATCTTCAAAAAGCATTCGATACAGTGTCTATTCCCATCCTACTGGCACGTATGGAAGGCTTTGGTATAAGAGGTGCCCCGCTAATGTGGCTTAAAGACTATCTGAGTGAAAGAAAACAAAACGTACGACTTTAAACTTACTAAGTGACAGCGCATACTGTACATATGGTATTCCACAAGGAAGTACACTGGGCCCCACGATGTTTGTGATCTACATTAATGACCTGTGTAATACAGTAGCAAATGGTGCAACAATTCAGATGTTTGCAGACGATACAGTACTTCTATTTCGGGAACGAACCTGGAACTCAGTATACAAGTTAGCTGAAGAAGGTTTAAAAACCGTTACTGCATGGCTGGAAGACAACCTACTATCATTAAATACGTCTAAAACAAAGTTCCTAAGCTTTAGCATTACAAATGCTTGCAAGCCAAGTGTAAATTCAAAATTAGTAATACATAAATTTCCTTGTAACAACCACCACACCTGAATGTAACTGTCCGCACTTATTGCTTAGTGACAATGTAAAATACTTGGGCGTAATTATTGATGACAAGTTAAATTGGTTAGCACATATCGCTGCTGTTAGTAATAAATTAAGGAAGCTCATATATGTGTTTAAAAATTTAAGAGTTGTTTTAGATAATGAGGCTATAATGAAAGTATATAAAGCCATTGCAGAATGTGTTACGGTTTAATGCATTAGTTCTTGGGGTGGGGCAGCTAAAACACACCTTATCGAACTCGAACGTGCACAACGTGCTTTATTGAAAGTTATTAAAGGCCCACCTTTTAGACACCCGACTGAGGACTTATACAAAATATGTGGCGTACTTACCATACGAAAGTTATATATCTTCCATTCTATTCGTAAATATGACAAAAGTACTGCTTCTCAAATACAAATAAGTGATAAGAGGACGGTCCGCTATCCCTTGCCTGCCTACAAGAGCAACTTCGCTAGAAGACACTTTAACTATTCTGTGTATATTACAATACTGTACAACAAATTAAATACAATTTTTAAAACCGCCCATCTAAGTAATCATAATACTAAGTCAATTTTACTAAAGTGGTTAAGTAATTTTGACTATGACGCTACTGAGAATCTTATCGTTTCCACTAAATAATTCTTATACAATATTACGACGTTTACACGCACATACACACACATACACACACACACACACACACACACACACACACACACACACACACACGCACGCACGCACGCACGCACGCACGCACGCACGAACGCACGCACGCACGCACGCACGCACGCACGCACGAACGTACGCACGCACGCACGCACGCCCGCACGCACGCACGCACGCACGCACGCATGCACGCACGCACGCACGCACGCACGAACGCACGCACGCACGCACGCATGCACGCACGCACGCACGAACGTACGCACGCACGCACGCACACACTTTTTATTTACCTTATTATTGTTTTTTTTTTCTCTCTCTTTATACTTTGTTAACCTATATGTTATTTTTGATGTCATTCTAATTAATTTTTTATACCGTTTGCTATAATAGTTTGTCACATTACAACTATATGTCACTGAAACGGGGGAAGATGCTGTAGCCTGTAACACAGTTTTCAACTACCACGGGCTACAGAGCTTCAATATGATTTGTTTGTAAAAGTTATGTGAGAAACAATAAATTATTATTATTATTATGTGGGGTATCTATATAATTTTCTCATCTGGTTGGGATGTATAAATATATAATTATAAATGAAAATGAAAAGATAAATATACATAAATATCAATAAAATAAAATAAATACAAAAATACATAAATAAATAAAAGCCCAACCAGATGGAAGCCCTCGGCAGGGGAGACCAAACGGCCAAGGGTTAGGGGGGAGAGGGAAAGAAACCGGCGGACGATGCGGGCAGTATCAAGGAGCACCGCCTTCTGCATTTGAGCCCGGAGCGGTCCGTCACGGAGTCCCAGTCGCCTCAGATGACCAGAGAGGCTAACTGGGATTAGCCCATTCGCAGAGACGACTACAGGAATAATTTCGGTCGGCAGACCACCCCACATGTCGGTCACCTCCAGGTCCAGATATTTTGATTGCTTATCTGTTTCGGCTTTCACGAGGTTCTCGTCATACGGGATGGTAATATCGACCAAAAATATCCTTGACTGTGCCCGGTCCATCAGCACAATATCAGGCTTATTCGCAAGAATAGTCCTGTCTGTGATGATGGCCCGGTCCCAGTAGAGCCTGGCGCGGTCATTTTCGAGCACGGCTTCCGGCAAGTACTTGTAATACTGCAATTTCTGGTCCACGAGACCGTATTTCAGAGCGAGCTGAATACTGGCTACTAGGTTGTGCCTGTGCAAGTACTCAGAGTTAGAAAGCGCCGAACAACCGGAGATGACATGCCTAAATGACTCACCGGGATGGCGACAAGCTCGACAGACGTCGACAGTGCCATCCTTTAGGATGTATCTCCGATATTTGTTGGTCTTAATAACCTGATCCTGTATTGCACAGACAAAACCCTCGGTTTCCCCCGAAGAGGTCACCGAAACGTAGCCAGTTGAGGGAGGCGGCTGTATCTACGTGAGGCTCATGTAGAGCCCTGTAGTACCTCCCATGGAGCTCCTTCTCCTTCCATACGGTCTCCCGGTCGGAAATGCTCTGTACTGCCGGGTCTTGCCATTGCTCGTTGGCTAAGGATAGAGGGGTAAGTCCTATATCACATGAAATGACGTCATTATAGAATGGATCATCCGATCTCGCCAGGAAGTAATGACGGAGGCTGCACACTTCGCGATTATGCATGGTGAGCGCGCTCAGGAAGCCACGCCCATTATGCTTTCGCGGCAAGTACAGCCTCATTACCGCCGATCTCTGATGATGCATCCTATGGGACGTCATTGTAGTGCGGACTTTTCTATCCAGGGCGTTAAGTTCAGTCTGACTCCACCTGAGTATGCCAAAGGTATACATGAGGACAGGCATGACCCAACCGTTATATGCATGCATATTATTATTATTATTGTGTGCGTCAAATTAAAAAAAAGCAATTACTTTTACTTGTCCATTATTTATCAGTCAATGATTTATCCATTACTACCTAATTTACTAATTCAGCTCGGATTTTACAACTCATCAACATATTTAAGAAGTTTTCTGCTTGAATATTTTGCAGCTTAAGTACTTTTCAGTTAATAGACCAGAATTTTTACTAAACGTCGCCGTTCAATCAGCGGCCTGAATGATATTTAGCTGATACATCTAATATTAACATTGCACCTATCTTAAGATTTTAGCGAGTTTAGTTAGGTGCGGCTAGGGTTGCCCTTAGGCCACCCTGAAGTCGCGAAAATTTGTACAACATATTGCGTGTAATTAGGCACAGACTAATTACATTACATGGCATGATTATCTTATTCATTTTATTAAACGAGACGGTTGAAATGGCTAAGCTGTTAACTAAATGACTAATTAAGCTTGTTGGCCATGACATAAAATATTTACCATGCTCAATTGTATTTACAGTCGTACAGCTTACATCGAAGATATTTATTGGCTAATATTGGATAGTACTTTTCAAACGCGCCTTGATGGTGCTGGACTTTTTAGAGAATAATAAATAGAATTCAGTTTAATTCGAAACCGACTTTTGACTTCAAACGTGTCGGTCGACTTCATTCCCGTCACTCCACTCTACTAGCTCATATGCCCAATTTACATTATCTTAGTGTTTAGCAGAGTGCTTTAGGATAGTACTTTAGTTGAAACATGAAAACGCTACTTGCTTTAGTACGGTTCTACTTGACTTTCAAGTTGAATCAAAATAGAATCGCTTTTTATTTTTGTTTCAAGTGAGTGAGTTCCGCGCCCGCGCAACCCCCAGCGCGTCACTCAGCACTAATCTGTGCACTCAAATCTTCCCTCGTTGTGTGTAAACACGTAATTTAGTAAAATCTTTAGGAGAGTGCACAAATGTCGTGAAACGCGTGCGTGTTTTTTGATTTTTAAAGATGGCTAAATGGTCGGAAGATACAACTATCAAATTTGTGTCTGAATATGTTGTTCACGAATGTTTGTGGAACGTTAAAAACAATTTATACAAAAACAAACAGGCTAGGCATTCGGCATACACTGCCTTAAAAGAAGCTATGGGTATTCCTGGCCTCGACGTTAACGCGGTTGTCACAAAAGTGAGTAATTAATGTAATTAATTAATTATGTGATTTATCAAATCAATGTAATTTTTGTAACTTTTCTAGTATAGTAGTTTCTACTGATTTATTAATTGGTTCACTGATCCCGCTGATAGTAAATGTATGTGCATGTGGGTTTGTGTGTGTGTGTGTGTGTGGGGGGGGTGGTTGAAGTTATAATAATAACAACATTTTTTCTATGAACAGTTTGTTTTGTATTTCAGATTAAAAACATAAGATCAACTTATTCACAAGAGGTAAAGAAAATTAACGATTCAATGAAATCTGGAGCTGGAGCAGATTCCATATACAAGCCGAGTGTAAAATGGTTCGACATACTACACAATGTGTTACGAAGCGTAAACCTAGAAAATAGAAAGACGCAGAGTAATATGGTATGATTTTGATAGAATCAGGCGTTACTTTGCGGAAATCCATTATAATAAAAAATAAAAATATAAATTTCTTTGCAACTTTCCGCTAAACATATAAAATGATGTGTCTTACCTGGATTGAAGCGCACCTCCCGCCCTCCCTCAATTGCATACACTAACTCCGTCACCACTAGACCAAGCACCACTACTCTCAACACCACTATTCCAGGTAAAACACACCATCGACGATAATACGACACGTGTTTCGCCTCTACACGAGGCATCCTCAGGTAATATAGCCGCCGTAGAGTCTATATTACCTGAGGATGCCTCGTGTAGAGGCGAAACACGTGTCGTATTATCGTCGATGGTGTGTCTTACCTGGAATAGTGGTGTTAAGAGTAGTGGTGCTTGGTCTAGTGGTGACGGAGTTAGTGTATGCAATTGAGGGAGGGCGGGAGGTGCGCTTCAATCCAGATAAGACACATCATTTTATATGTTTAGCGGAAAGTTGCAAAGAAATTTATATTTTTATTTTTATGGTATGATTTTTTTCTTACATAAAAATTAATGTATCATTCGTGCCTGCCAGGAGACAGATCCTTCGCCCATAAAATAGTCTGCAAACTTTTCTCTGATCTGACTCGTTTGAATGAATGGTTGTACGTTGTACTGTGTCTAGGTATTGGCACAAGTCCCTCTGAAGGTAACTGTCTCCAGCTCCCTGTAATGTTTGTTCTCAGTGTCTTCAAAGTCCATTGTATGTTCTTATATCGAAATTTTGATGATTCTGAGCCAGTTGTGTAAAGCACAACAAGCAATATCAACAGTGTTTGGGCAATAAGGCAGTGGTTTTCCGAATATTTGAAATCTACTAACTAATATCCCGAAAGCGTTTTCAACAATACGTCTAGCACGAGACAACCTGTAATTAATTTTTTTTTCTCTTTGTGTTAAATTTTGTCCTCCGAATGGCTTCATCAAATAAGGCTTCAGAGGGAAGGCAGCATCTCTGACTATAACATGATGTTCTGGTAGCAAGCCATTTTCCAAAACATCACTTAAGTTGCAGGTTCGGAAAACTCCTCCATCGGATATTCTAACCATTGCACCCGATATCGATATATGAAAAACAATAGTTGTCATCTACCAAATCCATTAATACAAGGCTATTCTGTTGCTTGTAATTATAGAAATAGCTTCCTGCTTCAAATGGAGCTTTAATGACGACGTGCTTGCCATCAATTGCTCCAAAACACCAGGAAAGTTCCAAGATTTTCTAAAGCCATTTGCAATTGCCACTCCCTTGCAAATCCCACTCTTCAGAGTTTCTTGGTACCTGAAAGAAAAAAAGAATATTTGTATTATTTTAACTAGCTGCCGAAAATATTTCACTGACTCAAGTCTATTATTTTTATTTCAGAATACCATTGAGGATAAAGAAGACATGGAGGAGAATCAAGATGCTCGAAATTCTGAGCTTGTTAGTATTGATGATAGGCCAGTTTCTGATCTAACCCTTAGCCCTTCAAGGAAAAGAAATATGAGAGGTCTGAATTCATTTCTAGACAAAGCAAGAGTAGTGGTAAGCGAGCTCAACACAGAATCAATGATCGAAAAAGAAGGCACAAACGAATTCGAATTGTTTGGAAAAAGTGTTGGCGTCCAACTAAATTCCATGAGTTTAGAATTTTTTTGTAAAAAATATTAACAATGCTATAAACATTACTAATATTCCCCTTAACCCTACATTGTATTTACAGTAGCTTACATCGAAGATATTTATTGGCTAATACGTGGTAATTTACGTGGTAGAGCCATGCTGTAATTATATTAGTAGTATAGTTGTAGCACGAATGGGTCGGCTCGACCGGGGAAGGACCACGCTCTCACAGAATACCAGCGTGAAATAGTAGCTTAATGCTGCTGTATTTCGTATGGTGAGTGTAGAGAACCGGAGACCCTTTTTACTGGAAATGAGGCATTCCATCTCAGTCCTCACGGGTGACAACGCATCTGCATTTTGATTTGTAATGGAAGATAGATGTAGATGTCTATGGGTCGCAGCAACCACTTACCATCAGGTGGACTGTGTGCTCGTTTGTCACCATATCCTATAAAAAAAAATATTGGATAGTACTTTTCAAACGCGCTTTGATGGTGCTGGACTTAGTAATTTAAAGGAAATGTAGATTTTTAGAGGATAATAAATAGAATTCAGTTTAATTCGAAACCGACTTTTGACTCCGAACGTGTCGGTCGAGTTCATTCCCGTCACTCCACTCTATTAGTTTTGCTTAGCGTTCTGTGTTTGGTGACAGTATTAGTGCTGCTAGTGTGGTGCGCGAAGCACGCTGTCCCGGGTGACAGCAGTCTCACATTGAAGTTTATCGGACGCTTTTTGTGGTGCGAAAGGTGTTTTGTGCGTAACTCTCCTTCCTGGCTATGGATTTCGGCAAACCGTAAGAAGAGTGTAACACACCCGCTGCATCAAAGGCCGTCATTTATTTTAATTTTAATTTCTATATTGCTTGTTGCATTAAGCAACAATCTATGTACACACCCTAAATTACCAACGTGCTACTTGTATAGATGTTCATTTAGGCACACACCTTTCGATAAAGGAACTTGGTACACATCAAAGTGTTAATTTGTGTTAGCACAGGACAAGATGACGTCATTCTCATAAGACGAACTCGCCGACTTTTTGCGTAAAGCCTTCCCCAACGTTCGCGTCGGTAAATGATGTTGCTTCTAACGCGCCCTCCGTGATGTCGACCTGCGGCTCTCTCCAGCCAATTTGGATGCCGACTTAGGCTACAACATGGAAACCGAGACGCGTGCCCCGCCCAAGCCTGAAGACGAAAGCTTGACCCTCGTCAAAGGTAAAAAGCGTAAGCGTGCTACACCAAGTAAAGCAGCCGAGACTAACCCGACCTTCGTTCCCCATCGGGCAAAAAGCCGCACCAAAAAGCCAGCCCCCGTGGCAAGCGCCCAATTTCTCAAGCCTGCGGCTAAGCCCACGGATTAAGTGTCCCATTCTGAACGTAGGGAAAAGCTGCAACCACCCATCGTCATTCAGAACAAGACCAAGTGAAACAATGTGTACAATTGGTTAAACAAACTCCAAAAAAAAATAAACTGCCCAAAAGTGCAAAACGCTGGTCAGGGCATCGGAATGTACATCAACTTGACCGAAGAATTCCTCAGCGTTACCTACCACCTGCGCGCTCAGGAAATTAGTTTCCACTTCTACACCCTACCAGAGGAGCGTAATCTTCGTGTGTTCGTTCGAGGGGTCCCCAAGGAATTCGAAACCATACACATCTTAGACGACCTTAAAGCCCAAAATCTTCTGTGACAAAGTACTGCAAACGCGAGGTGCATTTTTGCTGAGAACGTTTTCGTTCTAAAAATTACGGCTTCAACATCCAACTCCTTGTAGGACCGGCAATAATTTAAGCAACGCATATGCAATAGGCGACAGCATCTACTTATTATCATAATTAATATAAAAAAACACAAAAGAACTTGAGATATTCCGACATGTATTACCACCGCATGTAGTACCACCGCACTTTCGAATGGACAACTAACTTCTTTGTAGCAACTTTAGCCCTAGACTCAACGAACCTTCAAGTTTAATGTTAAAGGAAATCTCAACAATCAATAACTACAAGCAATCGGGGTAATTCAGTGATACTGCTCGAAAAGTAGGAGCCAAGGTGAGCTGGCTCCTTTTCGCAGTGAAGAGATACGCTCGTATTGGGAGGCGTTGAATTTATAAAAAATTAGAATCGCTCTTTTTGGAGACTTTCTGGAATATGAGACTCATACGCTCAACCATGACTTTTTTTCAGACGAGATTTGATCACGACAAAGCTCAATATAACCTTGCGCGGAAAACGACGTATTTAGAGACATAAAACATCAACAACTAAATTAAAGGTTAACGGAGTTAAGTGTTGATTATAAAAAAATAATGAATGTTAACAAGAGTCAAGTGTTATATACATACACATAAGTCTATATACATAAGTCTATATACATAAACACACAAACATATAAATACAAAGATATAAAAACCAAAGTTAATCTGTTAATTGAGGTCTCAATTTCAAAATTCCATCGCTATAATAATTTTTGGTTAACATTGACAGTCTTCGTTTACACTCAAGCTTTATTATAAAAATAAATGTACTGTAATAAATGTATTAATACAAATATGCAAGAGAAATCATTGTTCAAGATATTTTTAAAGCTATGAAGTTAATATTATTAATTAGTATAAGCGTAATGATTTCCTATAATGATGTTTTATATTTAATCAATGTGTAGTATAGTAGCGTATAGTAGCTTGTGCTTTACTACTGTCTCATCTGATGGTAAGTGATGATGCAGCCAAAGACGGTAAAGCGCACTGACACAGCTTAACAAAAGCCTATTCACTGGTTTCCACGTTGTAGTTGGATAAAAAGATGGTGTTGGTTAAATTATTCCATTATATTGATATATGTTTATTTTAATAACATCCTAATTTTATTAGCGAAGGAAGCTGGGCACTGACACCATCTTGGGACTCTGTAATTAATAAATTTAAAACTAAACCGAAGCATACCACTGCAAGACTTTAAGTCATAGTAAGTTTATCTGCGTATATCGGACCAAAAATTATAATTAAAAAGCTAAAGGTGCTTCGGGTTAACATTGAAATCAGGACGTCAATCACCTCAGTCCCTCATGACGATAGGTGCTGAAAAGCACCCGAAACGTCAGGAATTAAAATCAAATAAATTAAACGCTATAAAATCCATAAAAGAAGTTTTAATCAATTCGTATTTCTTTGTGATGGCTCTGCAGAAATTTAACAATAAGTTCCAGCGCTATGGGCCACGGGTTCAGAGCAAGTATTTAGCCGACAAATAGTTTTTCCGGGTCTGGAGGTTTGTCCTTGTTAAATTTAAAGATACAGCAGAAAATTCTAGTGTGTAGGTAACATTTAAAAAAAGACTAAAACAAACTTTCTTATAAGGTTTTAATACATACATTAACACTCACGCCTGTTACCCAGAGGGGTAGGCAGAGACTACAGACTTATATTTAGCACGATCCTGACATAACTCTCTTGCCTCCTCCACATCCATATACCTACGCATACATGCTCGTCGGTTAAGGGGGTTTGATAAAATTTTAGTTACAAACAAACTAAAAATTTTACGTACTAGAGCCACGCTTACGATGTAGATGCATACTACATCTACATTATAGTTTTAATACTTGGAACACACGCCTTCCGTGAAGCAATTTGAGGGAAATTTTGTATTAAATCACAGATTTTATGACACAAAATTTAAAAATTACACTATTATTTTATAACAAAGATTTAAATGAGACAGAAGACTAAGACCGTTTAAAGGCTGCCTCGTTGGTCTAGTGCTATATATACAATCCTGTCCTGCGCCGATGGCTAGTCTCCATTGAGACAGGCTGCCGTGACTGAAATTCGGTCTGGAGGGCATTATTATTATATGTGCACACCAAAAAACTAATTTAACATAAATAAATAAGTTCATTAAATCACATTTACTTTTCAATAAACTTTTTAAAATTTAGAATAATAAATATAGAATATATTTTTATTATTTATAATTATTATGTTCTAAGCTATGTATGTATATTTGTAGACATTTTTTACTACGAAATATACAAAAATATACACCTTATTAAAATAAAACCACTTTTTTTGAATTCAATATAAGCTTGAATTTTCAATAGGTAACGGAAAGTTTCAGGGATGGCTTGTTCGGCCATCCGACTTTTTTTTTTCTTAAAATTGTAACGTTTTGAAAATGATTTTAAAAAACTATTTACAAAATTTGCAGGAACTGCAATGCTAACTTAACCAGACAACAGCGATAAATCTGTGCAATACTAGGATAGTATCGATCGCCTGTCAATTGCTTTGCGTTATATTGGCATATTTGTCGAGTTACTCTCGTTATTTACTGCGACTTTGAATCTGAACGCCGAACAAACACAAGTAACAGTTATAAAAATATTTTTTATTTAGTAACATTATCATCTTTATCTAATGACAACCCATTACAGGTCCATTATAACAAATCCGATTGCCAAGCGTGGCAACTATGTCAAATATTCCACCACATATCTTCATCCTCTTTTAACGATAGATGAAGTCATCCTCATTTCTGTCCATCACGATGAGAATCTCAGAACCTGGTTATCTTCATAGCGTGCTGAGCGAGCTTGAGCTTCTTTATACAGTCAGCAATGAAGGACCACGTCTCAGGTTCAAATGTCATCACTGTCAACACGTACTGCTGGCAAGGTACATTGTATCTTGTTTTTTAGTTGTTTTTTTAATGGGATAGGGTGCCAAACGAGCACACAGTCCACCTGATGGTAAGTGGTTGCTGTGGCCCATAGACATCTACATCTATCCTCGATGACGAATCAAAATGCAGATGCGTTGTCACTCGTGAGGACTAAGATGGAATGCCTCGTTTCCAGTAAAAAGGATCTCTGGTTCTCTACACTCACCATATGAAACACAACAGCATTAAGTTACTATTTGACGCTGGTTAGGGTTTAGGTCCCGGGACGTCTCGTATCTCGAAGTCCCGGGACTTTTCGTAATTTTACTTGTCTCGAGTCCCGGGACTTTCAGGTCGAGACTTGAGATGAAACAAG